GGGCGTATGGGGCTGGATGGCTGGCTTAGGTAGGTAGCTGGGGGAGAGAGAGGAGTGGGGAGGGATGGAGGGAGGGATGGATACCTATCGAGGGTGGGACAGATTCAGGGTTAGCGGGGTGTGGATGGAGCGAGGGATGGAGAAGTGGCGGAGGAGTGAGATCCTTTCACTCACCAGGCCGGGAGGTAGAAGGAGGCTTGGAACCGGCCATTGAGAATTTTCAGCACTTTTAATATTTCCGCTTTTCTCTCCCCTCCCCGTCGCCCACCCCTCGGGTACCATGGCCCTTGGTACCCTCCAAGCAGGGCTGTCATCGCCCTGCGGATGAGCAGCCTGCCTGACCCGGCACTGCCGCAGAGGCAGAGAAGAGAGGAAGGAGGCCAGCCAGCCGCATCCAGGCCTAGCTAGCCGCAGTGGGGCTGGCCAGATACCACTGGGGCACCATGGGCAATAGCTGGATGGGTGAGACCCAGGGCTGGAGCAGAGAGATGGGGACATCCCAGAGCAAAGAGAAAGATCTATCTATCTATCTATCTATCTTCCACAGAGACTGGCTGAGGAAGAGGAGGAGATGTCACCGAGGAAGATCTCAACCCCCCTGTTGGTCCTGCCACCTAGACGCGAAGAGTCTCTTCATCTCGCAGGGTGAGCACGTGGTGGAGGGAAGGGAGGCATTGGCAAGAGCAGAGGTGGGGAAACCAATGGAGGTGTTAAAGAAAAGGGGAGGTGGGGCATCTTCCCAGCCATGCTTCCTGATTGGCCAAGGGAGGGATGTCCACACCTGTGAAAAGCCAATGCTATGTTTGGATTGGCTAAGGGGATGGGATGACAAAGGGTGTCTTCTCTGTACTACTCCTGAAGGGCCCGTCCCTTCCTTTCATCCACTTTCGGCCACCAGAACGAGCCAAATGGGCTCAGAACTTTCCGACATTTCCCAAACGGACAAAGTCACGGCATCCCCCAGGAGCCCCCCAAACACCAGTTCCAGGCAGCCGCTCCATGGGATGCCCCTCCCGCTGCGCCGCCTCCTGCTGCCTGCCGCAAGGGCTCCACTCCGGTCGGCGGGGAGGGAAGGAAGAGGACTGCCCTGCAGGGCGCTCTGGTTCTCTGCGCCGCCGCCCCCTACAGGGCGGCCGGAGCGGAACAAGAACAAAACAAAACCAAAAAAAAGCGGCCGTGCCGCCCTAGGATTGGGCAGAATGCCGCCTCCAACAATCTTCCGCCCCAAACACCAGCTTGCTCAGCTGGTGCCTGGAGCCAGCCCTGGAGGGGGTGTATGAGGATAGATAGATAGATAGATAGATAGATAGAGGGGGTGGATGGGGATAGATAGATAGATAGGTGGATAGATAGATAGATGGGGGGATGGGGATAGATAGATAGATCGATAGATAAATAGAGGGGGTGGATGGGGATAGATAGATAGATAGATAGATGGGGTGTATGGGGATAGATAGATAGATAGAGGGGGTGGATGGGGATAGATAGATTAGATTAGATAGAGGGGGTGTATGATAGATAGATAGATAGGGTACATCCAGACTACCCGCCGAATCGGTGGTTAGTAATTGATCTATCGGGGATCGATATCTCGCGTCTCGTCTAGACGCGATACATCGATCCCTGAATGTGCTCCCGTCGACTCCGGAACTCCACCGGAGCAAGCGGCGGTATCGGAGTCGACGGGGGAGCCGTGGCCATCAATCTCGCGCGTGAGGACCCGAGGTAAATCGAAATAAGATATGTTGACTTCAGCTACACTATTCCCGTAGCTGAAGTTGCGTATTTTACATCGACCCCCCCACCCCAGTGTAGACCCTCCGATCGATCGATAGATAGATAAGGGGCTGGCTGGCTGGCTGGATAGATAAATAGATTAGATGGGTGTGGATGGGGATGGATGGATGGACGAATAGATAGCTAGACATGTATCTGGAAGGATGGATGGATGGATGGCTGGCTGTGTAAATAGATGTGTGGATGGAGAGGGTTGGCTGGCTAGATAGATGGGTGTGGATGGCTGGATTACATAGATTGCTGAGGACGGGGGTCAATGGATGGCTAGATTAGATATACGGATGTTTATTGAGATGGCTAACTAGATAGCTTAGATTAGCTGGATGTGTATGGGAATGGATGGATAGCTAGATAGATGAGTGTGTATTATATATATATTTCATCTATCTTTTAGAAAGATATCTAATCTAGTCCAATCTAATTCCATGTATATTGAAGTCAAAACAAATTCATTCCAGAGAAGTGTTTCCATGAAGTTTTTTTGATGCTTTGGACACACAATTTTCAGGGATTTTCTTCTCTCAGTCAGACTCCATCCCTCACTTCCCGTCCCGGTCCGGGACCAAAGGAAATTGGGAAAAGCCGAGATTCCCCTCGGAAGGGAAAATGCGAGATTCCACCAGCTCCTTTTGGGGTGTCAGATTTGGGAGACCTTCGGAGGTGTGGAAATGATTTATAAATGCAACGGGACAAAGGCAAGCGACTTTGCAGTCGAATCTCCTGCAGGCTGAGGACAGTGGAAGGATCCAAAGAGCAAAAACATCCCAGCCAGAGGTGAGTGGAAAATATCCCTTCACGCACATTGGTTGTGAAAGAGAAATAGTGAAAAATATGGGATGAGCCGTGTCTGGGTGCCGGGCGTTCCCGGGGGTGGGGATATAGCGGGGGAGGGGACGGGAACGTGGCTCGGGGACGGGGGTTCCCGGGGGCTGGGATAAACAGGAGGGGGGCGTGTCTCAGTGCTGCAGGTTCCTTGGGGTTGGGATATAATGTGGGGGGGATGGGGTCGTGTCTTGGTGCTGGGAGTTCCTGGGATTTGGGATGTAGCGGGCGGGGGATGGGGCCATATCTCATTGCTGAGGGTCCCCGGGGGCTTGGATGTAGCGGGCGGACGGGGGGATGGGGTGTGTCTGGGTGCCAGAGGTTCCCGGGGGCTGGGATGTAATGGTGGTGGAGGGAAGGGGCCGTGTCTGAGTGCTGGGGGTTCCTGGGGGCTGGGATGTGGCGGGGGGATGGGAGGATGGGGCCGTGTCTAGGTGCCGGGGAGTCCCGGGGGCTGGGATGTAGAGGGGAGATGGGGCCATGGGATGTAGCGGGGGGATGGGGGGATGGGGCCGTGTCTGAGTGCCGGGGGTTCCAGGGGCTTGGATGTAGCGGGGTGG